CCATACCGTCCAGAACGGTTGCATTCTATCTCAATCCGTAATTTCTGGAGGTTTTAGAATATCATGTTAGAAAAGATGAAACAAAAAAGTTTATTCCAACAATCCCAAAAAAAATAAAGACCGAATCAACTTCTATAGAATATTAGAAATTTAGTTTTGAAGCATCTACACTGATCTGATAATGTTGGCTGACTGTTGATGAATTATACAAAGACATTGTGAATAACCCAGTTATAAATACACTAAAAGTCAATAAATAATATTATCACATACTAATTGAAGTTGAAAAGAGAATTTGGTTTCAGTATCGATCCTGAAAATAATAAATTAGAAAAGACAACCATGGTAGATGGGAAAGCATTTCCGAGAACCCGTGAGCTAAACCCTTGGACATAAGCAGAGGCTAACAGATAGTTTGGAAAAAAAACATAAAGGTGAATAGAAAAAACACAAAACACAAGCGAAACATAAGCTAGAACAACATCATAATCTTACTTATTTCAAGACTTAGCTGGAGCACGCTAAAAGGTCACAAAGGTAATGATGATTCAGAATTTTCAGTTCGAAGATCTCTCAAAACAAAACTAACTCACATTCATATAGGAAGAGAATGAAGATGATAATGTGGAGAACTTTTCAGCAACTTTGGATGCCCCAGCTCTCAACGAATCTTTAATTTCTGACATTTCCGGAACCTTAATTGACTTTCCTCATGAAGTTGCGAACGAATGGTTATACCTGGCTTGAATAATATGAAGACTGTTGTTGTTGGCTACCTCCTCCCCATAAATCAGCAGATCCAATAGCGCTCTGTCCTTCAAACTTGGATAACGCTGATTTAGTTTCATACTACAAAAAAACGTTATAAGCATCTAGAACTATAGTCTTACATCCATTTCATTACTTCCAAAATACATATCACTAGAAATGGCCTTAGCGTTTCCGAATTTCTTATGCACATCTACATCGTTAGCTGCAGCAGCTACTGGAGCCTTACTTGGGGTAGAATAACGTGATTTTCTAGGAAAACAGACATAAAACGAAAATGTATAAAATCGAAACATACTGTGGTGCGCTTTGCTCCCAGTTGTCGAAGAAATCATCCTGCTTAGCAGGCTTCGACGACTTCAAGTCAGCAAAATCGTCGAAAGTTTTCTCGCTTGTACTTTCAGTTTTACTAAATCTGAAACAAAGAAGCTTACATACGGAACATCAAGTAGTTAACTAACCCATCGTCCACAAACTCCCACTCCTCTTCTGCTCTTGAAGGGGTAGTTGCAGCTCTGGATGACAAATCGGCTTGCTGGATTTTGCGCACACCAGAAGCAACAGAATGTGCAGCTCTGGGCCTTCCTAGGCCGACCATACCCAAACGGTCAACAGCCGCAGCCTTTTGAGGATCACCAGATACTTTAGACTAAAATAGAAAAATGAGAACATATATAGCGTTCAACCACACCTCCATGACTTTTTTCTGGGCATCGATTTGTTGCATGGCTAGGCGAGTGCTGAGTTTCGCTACTTCAGGTTCTTTTCTATCTTCCTCATAATTCAAATTAATAGCAGCAGCAGCAGTTTCTTGCTGAAACGAGCAAAATGAGAATGTCTCGATAGTCACATGATTTACCATAGTCTTGTTCTTTTCATGTTCTTCGGCTCTTTGTTCCAAGTCCTCAAAATCGATTTTGATTTTTTGAGCACCCAAACCTCCTTTTTTGCCCCCAAGCTTAAGAATGAAAAACAGTTAATGATTGCGAACACATGACAACATACAGCGACTTTCTTAACTGGCTTTTTCAATATAACAGAGACTGGGGCTGGATTGGTGGCTGATGTGGAAGAATCCAAGTGTTCAACTTTCGGACCTGGAGAAAAAGAAAGGCTAGACGATTTCCTGTTAGACTTACCAGCGAAGTCGTCGTGTTTCTCTTGAGAAATAAAAGCATCACTACTTAACGATGATGAACTTTGGGAAACTGGCATCGAGCCGAATTCTTGATCGAAGAAATCATCCTGACAAAAAAATAATAAGGGAAAGACTCTTGAAAAAACTAACTTCTTTCTGAGTTTCTTCAGTCATCACGGCGGTCTCAATCATGAGTTGTGTCCCATAACGGCGTTGAGCTTCAGCACAAAGAGTAGCAAGCTTATCCTGCACGGTAGAAAAATTAACAAATGCACGTGAATGAATTCAAACTAACCTTATAAAGTTGTGCAGCTCTACTCTTGTATTTCACTTGAGCATCGGTGCTGTTGCAGCCATGCTGTTTGAAGAATTGTGTCTGCAATTATGGTTTAGGAAAAACAATCCAGCTTTTAAGCCTCACAGCATTAGCGTTTCCTCCGATTTGCATGGCTCTTAATTGTAACCAATTCCAGTTAGTATCAAGATTAGTTGATCGAACGAATGTTAAATGCACACCGAGATTTCTGTGAGTTGCTGAGCAATCGATGCATAAGAAAACACCTGAAACGGCATGTATTCAATGGGTCCAGAAGCAAAACAACCCACCATATGTGACGGTAGCCCAAGTGGGGTTTCGAGCATTACAATCAAAACACAGCTAGAATTCAAAATTCTACTTATCGCGATTCATAAGATCTAGACTCACTTTGTTTCCGGGCAATGATCTCAATTTGCGCATTGCTGTCTGTAGATCAGCCTTGGAAGGTCCACTCTCGTCTCCCATCTTCTGAAACTGAACATAGCGTTTAATCAGCATGTGATAAGTAAATTCAGATGAAAGTTGCTTAAGCTCCTAGTATCTGATTTATGCGAATAGATTTCTACAAAAATTTATACAAAGAATACGACAGAACACTATTTGGAAGGGATAACGCTGAGTGACGTGTACGACATGGGAATCCGACAGAGCAGTGTGATTCGTATTGGAGCGCGTTTTCCATATTAGCCGAAGTGCTTTCACGCTGGATTTCTAATTAACTTATCGAAATCGATTACTGTTCATTCTCACTTAATATTTTAAACGACATTTACATATTTTTATATGTTTTCTTGCCGTCTAATAGGCTGTTTTCATTTTGAGTATTGAAATCAATAACATTGCAGTTGTTGAGTAGTAATGTAATGAAGACTAGTTTCATATAAAGTACTATAACGTTGAACACGACACCAGACTAATGATGAATTAAAGATTGTAAGGAGCTTTACTTGCTACTAATCAATTTTTAAATTTCAAATGTTATACCCCCATATGAAGGATTGTCAAGAATAGATCTAGTTTGATTAACCAGTGATGAAGAATGCAACCGCTCTGTAGCAGAGTGTCAGTATGAATGAATGCGTCTTTCACGCAATTTTCACGGATATTGCAACATTATGCTAATTTTTTATTAATCGATAGGTGCTTTGAGCTGAACTCATAAAGAGTCAGAAACATATAACAAAAAATGAATTTAATATAATGAATAAGGTTTGAGAAAATGAAAGAAAGAAAGAAGAAAAAATAGAAAATAAAAGGAAAAACTCGTAATGGATTTAGAAAAGAATTTTTTCATAAATGTATTATTAACAGTTTTTGAGCAAGATATCTTTTGAAGAAGAAGGAATGAGATTCACTTGAAGTATAACTAAATCATGAATGCTTCATAGACGAGGTTGTGGATGCTTGCGAAAGGAGTGAGTTTGAGAGATTTAACCACAGAAATGTTCTGTTTGTCACATGTGACTGAGTTACTCAGTAGAAGCTCTCTTCATAATCCATTGAATTATATTGTGATGAATCGAAATTATAATAATTTGGTGGAAGAGAATTTGTTTTAGTTAATGGTTGTTGTTGTGATTGTTGAGAAGCATTCTGCTGATGTTGTTGCTGCTGTTGTAATGATTGAGGTGATTGAGATTGTTGAGGATGTGATGCTTGATTTTGTGATGTATGGTGTTGAGGAAGTTGATTGTAAGAATTAGATACATTATGAAGCGATGCCATTGGTATGCCATTTGTCATTGACGTTACAGGGTAGTTCCCGCTTGGATAGCTGAAAGTACAATGTTGCTTTCCAATTATCGCATATTGCAATTAGATACCCGTCAAATGTTGTGACAGCGAATTTATGTTTTGTACTTTCTATATAAAAGGTTGGACGTTCAGCTGATGGGCTGACAGGGGGCTGCTGAATCATTTGATTCTCACTGGGTTTGAAGCAGGAGGTATCCATGTTATGAGCAACCGACATGGCCTGTCGCATATCTAAAGTATGATAATGATTTTTTACGGTTGAAAACTGTTTTAAAACCGCTAAACATGTCAGGAGTCAGAGTTACATTGTAATCTGGGTCACAATCAGCCATTTGCTCTAAATTAGGCATTGATGACGCTGAATTCAGACTGTTATCAAGTTGATTAGGTGTAGCTGGTAGGGAATTTGAAGAAAAACTGGAATGAGAACTATTTGTTAATTGATAAAATAAAAATAAATTTACTTATAAGGTATGGCACTCTCCGGCTCCTGGTATGAGTTACTACTACTACTTGGATAACTGCTTAATGACTCAACAGATGACGATGAGGCAGAATGAGACATACGAGGATCGGAATTTCTTCGAACAGCGTCCGGAATGTATTCCAGCTTAAACACTGTTCATAACATAGTTTCTCTGATCATTCTACCTCTTGTGGTCGCACTTGAACACTTTCCTCTTGTTGCAGCAAGCTTTTCAACATCTGATCCTGCATCTGTTCAAAGTTTGCAATAAATTGTAGATTTTCAAGCACATGTCTTCCAATCATCTGAAATGAAAAAGAAACTGTAAGGATGAGATGAGGTGTCAAACCATAACGTTTGGCACGAACAAAAGTAAATTTCCAAAACGGGAAGAAGCAACTTCTTTGGGATGAGTCTCCCGTACAACATAATACAAAGTTTCTTGAACTCTATCCCTCATATCGGCGATAGCTTCTGAAGCTTCAAGTGAAAGACATTTGAGATCTGAAATCAATACGATGATCAGCAGGATATGTTCAACATGTTTTACTTGGGTTTAAAATAATAATAGCCTTTAATAAAGCAGCCTCTTCTTCTTTCATATTCATTTTCCTTAAAGGAATGATCAAGTCATCTAAAGCTTGAGGAGCCAAGTTATTGGCGAAATGACTAAAAAGGAATTGCAATGATGAAGGATGTGTGAATTACAAACTGACAATGGCTCTGTCCATTTTTGGCAGCAATCCCTAGGAACGTATCCATGAGAACACAGATAGATCAGATCATTCTTTTTGCAATTCCTAGCCGTATTCGACGAAAAGTTAAAAACCATTAATGGCGCATAAGCATGACGAACCATCGTCAACTGAAATTGCAAATTCTTCTCATTTTTCAACCGAAAACTATTTCAAGGGAAGTTCATATGAAAACTTGCCTTGTCTTCAAGTCCTTGTATATCCATAGCATCGAAAAGATGATCAACCCAGTCAATGACTGCTATGAGAGTTCGATGAGCGATTGAAGGTAGTTCTATTGGATTTATTTCTCGATAACCTTCATATCTCATCTGAAGAAGGACAAGTTGAAAAAAAGTGATAAGAGAAGAAAAGAAAAAAACCTCAGTTCGCTTGCCATCCAAAATGGCTGGATCTTCCAAGGCATGACGAATTGAATCGATTGGAAGTGGATAAACGACTTTTGAATCTGTTCCTCCGTCCGTACCACCGACCTACAAGCTATAGTCTATGTTTAATTTTAAAATAGACCTTATATAGTAATAAGGAACGACATTGGGAGGACAAAAGAAGTATGAAATGAAATTTGCTACTTACTACGAGATCAATATTCATAAGTTGTAATAACGTTGTTCTCATGTCAACAGGCAGTTTCCGCATCCATTCCGTGTCTATTTCCTGTTCTTCTTCGGCATTTATTTTTGATCGCCGTTGTCTTCCTTGAAAATGCCTTCCTGTAGCATCACGATCAGGTCGAACAGCTGAAAAGGGAGAGACATTATCAAATTTCCATATACAACTTCTTGTTGATACCTTTAGGGTCCATCCCAACCTCAATGCATTTCTTATATCGACAATACCGACAAGAATTCCGTTCATGACGATCAACAACACAGTTTCCATTATATCGACATTGGTATTCAGATGGTCGTTTTAATCTGCAACAGCACCATATTCGTCATGCTAATCAGTTTGTCAACATACGTTCGTCTGAAGAATCCTTTGCATCCAAAACACGTCACAACTCCATAATGAGTCTTGGCATTACCATCACCACAAACTCTACATGTCTCCGAACCTTAAAAGGATTGAAGTAACTGAATATGAATGATGCAACTGTTTGTAGTTTGAACTGAGGGAAAATCAGGGATGGAAAAAAAAAAGAATAAAAAGAGTAATAAGATACTTTGTGATGAGAGTGAGTTCCTGCGGTTTTGCTTTGAGTCAGCAATAGATAATTCATCTGATAAAGGCATATGGATCTGAAACATTGAAAATATGAAAAAAATGGCCAAGAGGACCGAAAAAGGCCATAAAATAAGATGAGAATGATGATTTCTTTTCTTCATATTAATGATTGTGGGTAGTAAATGAACAACATGTGATATGTTGTCTCTCATTTAGACAGACATACACTCCATATATAGATAGCCATAAATGTCTTTTTTCTTCCTCTTCTTCCATCATTTTCCCTTTTTTTCGTTGACTTATTTAACTTGTTTCTAACATTTTCAAGTTTCTGGTCAGGTATAACGCTGATCAAAGTCTAATAATTCGTATGAAAAATCAAAAAAATTCTTTTTCTTCTCCTTTTTTTTTCATTTCTTCATCTCTCTCTCTCTCTCTCTGAAACATCTCTCTCTCTCTCTCTCTCTATCTCTCTTTATTTATGAGAGTTGCTTCATTTCTTGGAAATGCTTCTTGTAGCTACTGTCTACAAAGAGTCTTTCTTCTCTCTTCCAACTGTCTTTCACTCTCTCTCATACAGTCATGTACATCTTCCTCATAACTTTATGAGAACAAGTGCTTCTGTTAAAATGAAAATTTAAATAAATAAAAATGTAAAAGTCGCGAATGAAAAGTACTAAAGTAAACAAAACGTTTGGAAATTAAAGTTTAAACTGCACAGAAAAAAAAATTAAAAACAATTCAGTTGCGAGGAAATAGATTAAACTGTGCGTACGAGAGATCTTTCCCTCTCTTCCTCTCTCTTAAACATCTCTCTCTCTCTCCCCCTCTCTCCAAATTACTCGGAATCAATCGATAGAAGATATGAGAAACCAAAAAATGATTAAAAAAACCAAAAAAAAAAAGGAAAGAAAAAATAGAATGAAATGATGATAATGGATGATGAAGATGGAGGGGTGAGAGGGATGGTGCAAACGGGGGGGAGGAGGAAGAGTTGTTGGAAAATGGAGAAGAAGAGAGAAAGTAACGAGATATGTACGAAAAACACATGGTCAACAGAAGAAGAGAAGCTCATGACATGCTGTTCGGGTTGCCAAAGTTGCTTTTTAAACTTTTATGGAACAAAAAAAAAAAAAGGATGTTTTTAGTGAAGAATGTTGTTTGATATATCATCTGATAAGGTAATATGTTGGCCCAAATGAACGACCAACATCTAACTGTTTAACGAAACAAATGAAAATTGTGTGTATGTGAGTGTACGTGTGTGTGTATGTGTATGTGGTTGTGTCTGTGTGTGTGTGTGTGTGTTGAAGAACAATTTAAAAATCACAAAAACTGAAAATGTATTGATCGATTGATTGCAGACAAAAGACTATTGATTATCACAAGATAACAAACTTATGCTGATAAGAGGATAATTTCTAGAAAAACTTAAGTGACTAATTACTCCATTTTCAATTTCAAAAACTTTTAATCCACTTTATGAGTGACATGCATGAGATGTCTTACATACACACAGATACCGTACATCCTTATACGGATAATGCTGCTGCTGCTGCTACGAATCAATGATTTATTAGATCAGTCATATAGAGTATGGGTTAGAAGAGAAAGAGAGAGAGAGAGAGAGAATGAAAGAAAGAGAAGACGTTGACGTTGCTAATATACACGTGAATGTCATCATGTTATTCACGAACATTTTGATTCTGATGTCTACGAGGACGACGACGTCGAAGAAGACAACGACGACGACGACGACAATGAAGACGAAGACGACAACGTCTCAGACGACGTCATTGTCGAGACACATCATGATACTACGTCAACTGACCGGCTTTTATGAAGTTTCAAATAGAAAAAGGGTTGAGAACTTTAACATTTTAACCAAAAATAGAATAATATGAGATATGTAGATATGAAAATAAAATAAAAATAAATGTTGAAAATGATTGAAAACCAATAAATTTAGGTTCTAGTTTGTCATTTCTTTTATCTTCTATGTGATAAGAAAAAAGAGAACGACAGAGATCATACACAGCCATATTTGGTGGTTTCAAAGTCATTAAGGTCAAATTACAAATATAAGGGTTTTTCAAATTGATCAGACGAAATAAAAATTTTGAAAAAAAAAAAAAAAGGCTAACTGAGAGGCAAGCAATAGATAGGAGATAAGGATTCAGGAAGGAAGATAGAGAGGCAAGGGGAGGGGGAGGAGAGGGAAGAAGTGATGATCAACCGTAACTGTTTCGTATGTGCAGAGATTAAGGATACGGGGACAAGTTGTTGATTATATCATTATAATATACGAACTAAACGTTTCTTCTTATCTAACCAATTCATTGTTTGAGAAATAGGTAAAATATAAAAAAAAAAAAGAAAGGAAAAGGGAAAAGATGACGCGAGATTACAAGAAGGTCAGAGTATTCCAAGGCATTGAACTTGCCTGTATGTCAGATTCATCTTTCATGATGTTTGCAAAAGTGATTGGCTTATATTCTTTCTCTGAGTTCTAATTTGAAATGATTAGGAACTGGAAAAATGACTGAAATGAACACAAAATTCAAACAACAAATATGCGTCGCTCGCATGTTCCAAACTAAATATTGTAAAAAACGGACAAAATATATATATTTTAGTTAATAAAGTAACTCATCTATCTGATCAAACTACAATAACATCAATACAACAGCTCCACCCCCTCTGTCTTGTTCATCAAATACATACATTTGCACTGTTCAATTGATAACAAGGCTAATTAGCATATGAATAATACGTCATATTACGTCATCTCAATATTCACACAAATCATTTTCATTTTTGACGGTTTACAATCCGGCTGTGCTTCCTTTAATTTTCTATTTTCATATATTTCATCAAACTATATCATATAGTTATATATACATATTAGAATATTTTATTTTTGTTTTTGCCATACACACACACACACACACACACAGGCAGAAGTCTTCCATTATATCTTCTCATCTCACATATAATTCTGAAATGATGTTCAAGCGTTTTGGATGTTAATGGAATCTTACGTGTACAGTTCTCTGCAACACCCAATGTTGCAACACCTTTTGAATGCTCGCATATGTAGTACGCATTGTCTTTTTTCCATTCTACTAACCTGTAATAGGAACATTGATCAATATGACACTGACATTACATACTTTGATATGTTTGCTACTATGGAATCAACAAACTCATCATCACTTAACTTATTGTCATGTCTGGGGCAATGGTACACTGAAATGAATGTTTAAGTTATCATGCTCTCTCATTGATCTACTTCGACAACTGGTCTTAAGAAGGAAATTACGAGAACAGTTATATAAGAATTTGTCACCAACTTTAACTGAACCTGCAACACACTAAAAGTTCGGAAAGAAAAATAAAAAAAACTTACTTTGCTTAAAACCATTATTGTAATTTCGATATCTCACGTTGACTGAGCACACTGAAGATAAAAATAATTTGAAAAGTGGTCTAGTTGCAAAACGATTGCCCCGAACCAGGATCGAACTGGTGACCTTTAGATCTTCAGTCTAACGCTCTCCCAACTGAGCTATCGAGGCTTACGATATCACTTTGTAATTATACCAATTTCATTTTCAAATTCAAACCATCATGATATAGACTTTCACTTACCATTATTAGTCTGGACTCGATAACAATCTGAAACGACGAAATATTGAGCAGTCGGAAATTGAAGACGGTCGCGCAAGAAAGTTGGAGGTAGAACTTAGAAAAAAAAAGTGAAGAGCTCTCATTCAGTAAGTAATGATGGTATGATGAAGAAAACAGTTTGCAATCATCTCCTTGCTTTTGTGTGTTTTGATCGTGAGATTAGTCAATGAGGCAGAGTTCGAAAATGAAAAAAGAGCTATAGGATGTGAGAACGCGCAATGGAAATCTCTATTGTATTACCCACCTGATATAGCCAAGAGTAAACATGATAGGAACATAGCTCTCATTGTTGTTTTCTAGAGGTGTATACTTGCGTAGGTGATCAGTACCAACTCAAAGTAAGGAAAGGTTTCTCTAGAAGTTGCTCTTGAAGTGTCTTCTTTAATTTCTGTTGCCAAGAGACCTATTTTCCATTTTACTCTTTTTGGATAAACTTCAGCACCAGAAAGTCATAACAGAGCCTCCGCCGTAATGTTCGAGAAAAACTAATTTCCACGTAGAGACGTGGCAAACGTCATAAGGCAATTCATTTTCGCATTTGTTGCAGACGAAAGCGGTTGGTCAGAAGAAGTGAGTTTATTGAATTAAAAGCAATATAGTAGTTGTGCCTATGAGTGAAAGTCGGAAATGGGAGATAGAAGAGAGAGAGAGAGGACTAAGAGAGAGAGAGAGATGAAGTAAGCATATAAAGGATGTTTTGTTTAGAAAAACAAAATAAGAAGTAATAAAATAGAATGATAAATAATATCCGGTAGTGTGGTTTGTTGTTTGCTCTATAGGGTCAATCGATTTGACTTGTAAAATACACAGAGACATACATACATAGACAGTCAGGACACAGTCAATTTGCCTTTTTCTTTCCTCCTACTAACTTGAATGAGAGAGATAGAATCTGAAACTGTTCCGTTTTTTTCTGTGAACATTCATATTTGGTTTTGTTCGGGTGAGACGCATATTGCAATGTTATTCATCGGTTTATGTCACATCATGCGGCTTGTCATTGTTGTTATGGTTTCATCGAAGAGAATATTCATTTTAAGATTGAAATATATAACAATTAACTTCTTGACAGCCGAATTATGTTAATTATCTATGAACATATCCACTTTCTCTTTGAATTTCATTGTCATGACGACCATGCGACCATGTTCTGAGTGATAATGAGTTGATGTATGCGTATGTGAAGTATCTCTTAACCCACTCTATCACATCCAAAAACCATTCTTCTTCCATTACAGATATTCATAAACGAAATGTCATGAGTGACATGAAACTGTGGTTTAAGCATTTTCATTTTTCATTCTTTCTATCAATCTGTATTGTTATATTCTATTTATTCATATGGAAGGTGAGTACTACTACTACTAGTGTATGCCGTTTACATCGGTTAGTCAGAAAGCTTTCATCTCATGTCATCTTGTGTTCTATGGAAAAAGCCTGTTATAACTTTAAACATGCAAACGAAACAGAAAAAAGAGAAAAGCTGATTGACCTTTGTACCAGATGATTTCAATTGATTGCCTTTAACTGATAGTTTAGGATCAAGATTATCTTCTAAAGCCTCATCAAGCTGATCCACGTGTAAGGAGAATTCACGAAAGGTGGAAACGATGTGTGAAATCTAAAAGTCAAAGACTTGAATTCGATGCTCAGAAAGTACTTGTGAACGTGACTTCTCCCCATCTATTCAATTACCCTTTTAGTACAACAGTGAAATCTGGAGAATACTGACTAATTGCTCAACCGTTTATTCCACAGTCAAATATCAGAATGTATTGAATCAGGAGGTATCATTGAGATGACTTTATCGTTGAGATATTCGAAGCTTACAGAATACTCAGTCATCAATGCTTTCCAAATACGATCTGCCAGATTCATTAAGCTTATACTTCACTGGAAGCCCTTTAGAAAATGAGAATGGAGAGAATGCATGTCTGATTTGGTCAGAGGTCAGTAGAAGCTTATATTTTTCGGAGAAATAGAGATTATTTCGTTGCTTCTTCTTTCCAGGTGTTATCACCCCAATGGTCCGATGTCGATAATCGCTCTGTGCGTAATGGACTTACAAGGATTTTGATTGAAAATGAATATTTCCTCTTCTTCCATAAAGAGAAATCCATTTTGTATTTATTGAATGTTAGTAGAAAAGACTGTGTTTCCAATTATTTTTGAGAATTGAAAAGAAAATATTTGATAAATTACAATTTGTTCAGTAGATGGTGTGTGTGTGTGTGTGGATAGGAGCTGTGGTGTGAGATGATTGTTTGTCCCCGCACTGCTCCCATATCATTTCAACCACGGGTTTCCATGTACTTCAGTTTCGCTAATGAAAATTTTGCCCAAAAATCGTCTATTTTATCATTTCTTATCGTTTATGTGATATAAAGATGTGTGTTTAATGATCTTTTGATTCATTCTTAAAACATCAAATGAGAACAGTATGCGCCAACGGAATTTTCCGTTAAAACCGCAAAAGGAAATGAACAGCTGACAGCTGATAGCAAATTTTAAGATTTGCAATTCGATTATTTCATTGAAATCGGTCGAATTGGAAAAATACTTTGATGAAGAACATCGGAAACTCGTTTCATACTTAATGACGGCCATGTTGTGTCTGACTTCTTGAGAATAATCGGGTATTCTCCTAGGCCATCCTCTCACGAGGGCGATTTTCGTTCGCAAAGAAAATTTTTGTTTTTTTTTCTCCTGCTATTACGAAGTAACGTGGAAAAAATGTAATTTGCAAAGGGAGTAGGGGGGGGGGGGGGGGAAATGGTACGCCCTTCAAAAAACTTGAAAACAACACCC